GCATGGAATGCCACCCCAGTGTGTGAGACGAAATCATGGACCGTGGCATTGGAATCACCGACCACACAGCAGACGTGATGCGCATGCCAGGAAGCATGGTGAAACCCACGGGTGTCATCGAGGTTGAGAAAATTTTTGCATGGGCCAATATTTGTACATGGAAAACAATGACATTTCTTAAGTGATTTTGCTGGCTGACAACCCCGATCACGTTCTTGATACGATTTGCTCAAATCAGACCACGTGGCCAGGCACTATCACCCGGATTCCAATAGCATATGTGTCAGCTCACGATCAGGCGGGAACTAAGGCTATTGGAATGCTTGCTGATATCTTACAAATCGCGCGTTGATGAACACAGCAGTGTCTTACTGAACGCCATACTGGGTTCAGCGGCAGAGTAAAGCAGCACGCTTTTGACCAAAGGTTCTCTTGTCGAGACCAAAACAGGAATTCACAGGTTTAAAAAATAGATGCTATAAGAATAAGAAATGCTTACTAAACCGCAGCTCCCCTACCCCTCCCCATACACACGATCACGCACGGAGTTACCGCACACCAATTGGTGAGGTAGATGACAACATATACCATGGAATGGGGCGGTTCATCAATTTAGGAAAGCTGGGCTTGTCAAAACGCCTAGCTAGGGGCCGATTCAAAATATCTTACTTTGAGACGGAATGAAAATAAATGTGATGCCAAAAACGGCTTCTTGGTACCAGCATACACAAAACCAGCAAGACCAACAAACCTGCGTGCGTGCATATGGCAAACTGACGTTCTCAGTCGGGTGAGTGGCCTTACCTTGCGGCGGTGGTGCTGAGTCGGGCGCGTGGCCTTACCTTACGGCGGTGGTGCTGAGTCGGGCGCGTGGCCTTACCTTGCGGCGGTGGTGCTGAGTCGGGCGCGTGGCCTTACCTTGCGGCGGTGGTGCTGAGTCGGCCGCGTGGGCTTACCTTGAGGCGGTGGTGCTGAGTCGGGCGCGTGGCCTTACCTTGCGGCGGTGGTGCTGAGTCGGGCGCGTGACCTTACCTCGCGGCGGTGGTGCTGAGCCGGGCGCGTGGCCTTACCTTGCGGCGGTGGTGCTGAGTCGGGCGCGTGGCCTTACCTTGCGGCGGTGGTGCTGAGTCGGGCGCGTGGCCTTACCTTGCGGCGGTGGTGCCGGCCCCGTCCCGATTGTGAACTCGAGCGCCGTCGGCCCCATCTCGTTCTCCAGGCGCAGTTGGAACGTCTTGGACTGGTCCTCCATCCGCACCGGGGCGATGGTGAGCGTCAGGTTGTATTTTCCCCTCTGGCCGTCTATCTGGGTAGCGGGGTCGGGCTGGTCAGGCAGGCCCACTGGCCCCGCAAGGCGTGCTGCCAACGCGGCGCGCTCCGTCGGGTTCATCGAACAGTAGACAACTACAGAACACTGGAAAACTCGCTAGCCTTGTGACACTAGCTGATGGTCCTAAGGTCCACACTGTAAGCACAAGAAGACGAGCAAACACTAGTAGCAATTATACGTTAATAATGCCATATGACGCATATTATCATGACGTAATGAGGAGCACATTTTCTAAACAGGAAAGCTGCGTTATCTAGAGTACTCCTTTCCGCTTAAAAGTATACCAATAGTTATAAGTGAGCTTATTTAATCCTTTCTAATGTTTGCTTCAGTATCCTGAAATGTGGCACATCCTCTTTAATATTGTTCTCGTAAGTGGGCACGGAAGAAAGCTTCACGGACTCCGGTGGCCATCCCTACTAACGCCCCAATGGCAGCCAACAGTGATGACAGATTGCTTTCAAAAACATTTTTTAATGTCCTAGCTTTACTGGCTTTGCCATGCGCACCTACACTTTGCTGTTTTATTTGTCATTTAAATGCATGGCTATGGCATGCTCCATTTTGTTGCAGGCAGTGTCAGCTTTCCGAATGGTACGAGAACGATTCGGAATATATTTCACTGGAATTAAAGCCCTTAAGTCTTTGGAAAATATCTGGAATAATGGACATATTCAGGAACACATGTGCATGTGGCAAATATACCCATAATATATACACGATAGTGTAAATCCTGTACGATGGAGACCCTTCGGCAGCAAATTTTTAGAGCTACATGATTATTCATACATCAGAACACTACCGAATACTGCCAAAGGCATCGGCCCGACATCCGCCAACAGCCTGTCTGGTTGTCGGCCACTGGCCGGTATCTGCCGTCACCCCGCGTCGGCAGTGTTGGCGGGCGCCGCGGCTCTATCGCAGCCCACGGACAGGCGATAACGCCCACGCCCGCGTGCCACAGGTGTGTGACTCATCGGTATCGAACCGTTAACATGGCGGCCACTCTTGCCACTCATATGAATTCCGGCGGCTGAGCCATAGCGGGTACACGTAAATTTGTGACTCAGTTGACAGCCTTAGCGTCCCGGTCACTGATTCAGTGGCGATAAGGCACGCGAAAACACGCATTAGATGGAAGTATACGCGTCGAGGTGGCCAAAAAGGCCGAGGCGCCGGAGGTGGAGCCCGTAATCAAGAAATGCGCCTTTGAGGAGTGGCGATTTGGGCTGAAACATCGGCAGAGTAGGAGCACAGAGTTCGGTTTTTGACGGCTCACATTAGTGCTCGCTTTTCAGGTGTCTCAACAACAGCTGACTGATCAAGGTGACATTGGCTGCTTGAGCTTGCAGTTTGTCGACAGCTGACTGCAGTGTTAGTGGATCCGCAGTGCTCACTTCCTGTCACGTCAGGCAAAGGGAAACGACGGAGTTATCAAACAAGCGCGCACAAACGTGCAAAAGCAGCGCTGTGACTCCGACCGGCCACAACAAGAGATCACTTCCAGCCTAAATGATAGCCGTTGCCGAAATATGTTAGATGCTCACCGGCCGGCTGACCACCAATGACGAATTTCATCCGCACAGTCCACAGGACCAAACCTAGCCGTCAGCGTCCAGCGCGCTGTTCCTTCAACTAAGCCCCGCCGACGCCGGGCTCCCTGGCGGGTGACTGTTTCCACGAGGAAGAGAGACTCGGACATTGTACGCAATGTGCATCAGATCCTCTTGTTGAGTGTTTCTGAAGGTCTGAAGCGGCTCTACAGCGAACATCATCAATCCCCGTGTACTTGTTATAGACTATTCTAGGCCCTGGCCTTGGCAAGCCAGATCGACGTGAAACCAGCCCACGAGGCTTTTATATCACCATACCAAGTGGTTTGAATGTGGATGGCAAAGCGCCGAACATCTAGGCTGAACACGCGTCAGGTCCAGCCTAGACATCGCCTACAGTGATGTCAGAAGAACCTATCATTATGATGCCCGGCCGTTCTCGATTTGCGACTTCTGAGCCTCTCTTGTGTCGTGGTAGTGCGATGGGAGCGGCTGCGAGCCGTGTGATGGTCGGTCATGCGAGAGCCACGGCGACGCTCAGGGAGTGCGTGCCGTCACCAGACCGGTCATGCCAGACCCACGGCGACGCTCAGGGAGTGCGTACCGTCACCAGACCGGTCATGCCAGACCCACGGCGACGCTCAGGGAGTGCGTACCGTCACCAGAGAGCCGGCCGTGAACCGTCCGTCCAGAGACTGACTCCCAGTCTGGACGAAGACGTTGTCGCCGATCTTCCAGGACATGGGCCCTGGCATGGGGTTGGCCGTGAAGCTCAAGGTGACCTGGCCCTCCTCTCCGGCCGTGAAGCCGTAAATCTTGCCGACGTTGTTTCCTTCAGGGCGATACGGAGCATCTGGAGGAGACACGGCAGCCGTGGTGACATGGTCAACATGACAGCAGGAATGACGACACACATTGGGTGATCCTCTAACGGGCGGCAGCTAGCGGACGTCACGCACAATCTCTAACAGGATGATTGATCAGTGAATCAATGCATTATCGTTTGCGTCGTTGCGTCGTCTGCCAGTCGGCAGCATTATAAATGCACGCTAACCAGCTCGTAACTGTTATCGATACTGGATTAGGACATTACGTGGCCGAAATTTTCTCGGGGAAATGTCTGTTCAATATCTTCGACTTCCTGCGAATTCGAGGGCGATCACGTAAAATCGCCTGGTATCTAGCGCATAAGTTTTGGCTCAGGGTAGGGAGAGAGGACACATCCCCGTGGCCTTCTCCTTGGCTATGTCCCTGGTATTGAGCATTTTCCGCTTCCTCATCCAAACCCATCGGCTAAACCAGCAAAGCCTTTTGCAGATGGCCCATGTATCCCCAAAATATCCCAAATCAAACCATAACATTCCGGTTGGCAGTCCTGCTTTGAGCTAAGACTGCTTACGTGGGGCGCTGACGTCACTGCTCCACCGAATACATTTTCTATTTCAAAGAAGCACGACTATTCACAGCTTATCATACCGTGTAAATATGCCTGGAGGTCATTAGCACAAAAGAAACATGCTAACCGGCTTGGACCATCACGCAACCACAAAAGCTTAAGTTAGTCTGGTTCTGTGTAGTCATTATGTAGTCAGTCATATGGTTCCCTCTACTCCATTATTGCTGCAGCAGGATTTTATGTAGCAGTGGGTTTGGAAAACTTACGCGCGAGCTTATGATGAACATTTTATGGTGGGTTTAAGTGAGCTTGTTCCGTACCAGCATTGATGACTTCATTTCTAGAAACAGGATGGAAGAATATTGTGCTCCGCAGAGCATAACCATCAGCAGTATCCGACACAAGATCACCGGGATAACCAGGTAACATCACGCGGACACGAAAGCAAACATTTTAGCAATTGCGAGTTGCAAAAAAATTGCCAAAAATTCAATTCGCTCGCGATGAGGCCCATGGCATGCATCACATGACCCACAACGGCGTGTGGAGCCGCAAGTTGGGTCATCTGGTGGGTTTTTTGAGTCATCCAATTAAAGGGCTGCATGACCACGTGTCCGGTGGTCTCTACTGCTCCCAGGTCTGCTGAAGTGTCATCACACACAGCGAATTGTGAGGCAGGGGGGGGGGGGCACTCACACTGCACGTCGACGACAATGGCTTGCTCGCGGCTGTCCTGATCATCATAGCCAGCGTGGCTGGCCACGCAGCGCAGCTGGTCGCCGTTGTTCTCCTTTCTGAAGCGGTGCGTCAGAGTTGAGTTGGTGGTGACGAGCCCCGTGGCCGGGTCCTTGGTGTCCGTCACCACGACGCCTTCGTAGATCTGCGTGTTCTCCAGGTACCACTCGAGCTTGGCTTTCGGTCGGGCGCCGCTCGCTTCGCAAGTTACCGAGGTCGGCTGGTCGGCCGACGCCGTCAGCTCGAAGCTGCCGGCAGCAGCGCCGAGAAACTCCAGCCGGGACGGCTTCTCTGCCAGCAGCACGACAGCTATCGGTCAGAGGGCGTGATCGGGAGCAGCATGGGAGTGAGCGAGCGGAGACAGGGAGCACCAGCTGTGCTGCGGGTCCCCGGTCAGGGTGGAGTAGCAGCACGACAGCTGTCGGTCAGAGAGCGTGTTTGGGAACACTGCCGGAGCCGAAAGTTGCATGTCCCGCATGAAGCGCACGTGGTTGTCACACCGTCAATATGAAGGGGTGGGGGCAATATAGCCAACATCAACAACGCTTTGGCTTTGGGTATGTGACGGTGCATATAACGAAAGACTTACTTAAAATTACTGCTGGAGTTACCCAGCCAATGATTTTTTAGAGGTGACCACACTGAAAGAGCACCGCAAAGAGTGTCAACCCCAGTTAGTGATGGGAAACGTAACGAGAGGGCGCCCCGCGGTTCCGCGGGGCACATGGCAGTGGGAGCAGAGCCACGGGGCACAGGGCCGTGGAGGGAGAGCCGCGGAACACATGGCAGTGGAGGGAGAGCCGTGGATCGTGGAGGAGGGGGAGGAGCTGATAGGACACACCGCACAGTAAACGGTTGGTGCGGGGTTGCGGTCACTTCATAAGTGTTGGAATAAACGCACATGCATGCACATCGATGATCAGGTGGGTTGTTTAAAACACGCACCGACTGATGCCAATGGAACTCGGAGCGCTACCGCATTGGCGGCACGAGGAGATTACACAGTCCAAGACCCTGCTGCTGACTATAGTCTATTGCCCGCATCTGCAATCCAAAGTGTGGTCTATCCAATTTTACGTAATGGGAACCAGTGGCAGGGTGTTATGGGCCCATTAACAGGTTTACGTGTTCACCGCCCATCCCGTTTGCGGCGGGTGTTCGATACATTGTGAGGAACATCGCGGCAGCACCTACCAGCGCAGGCAGGCTCGTAATCAGGCAAGCACAGAGCAGATGGAAGGTGGTCCCTTGGTCAGGGTAGCAGGAGGACGGCGGTCCCTTGGTGAGGACAGCAGAAACACAGCGGTCCGCTGGGAGGGCAGCAGAAGGACGGCGGTCCTTTGGTCAGGGCAGCAGGAGGACGGCGGTCCCCTGGTGAGGACAGCAGAAGCACAACGGTCCGTTGGTGAGGGCGGCAGAAGGACGGCAATCCCTTGGTCAGGGCAGCAGGAGGACGGCGGTCCCTTGGTGAGGACAGCAGAAACACAACGGTCCGTTGGTGAGGGCGGCAGAAGGACGGCGGTCCCTGGGGCCAGCCACTCACGTGCGATCACCACCTCGGCCGCATCGGAGTTCGCTTGACCGCCGTTCTTCGTGTAAGGCGAACACGTGTACACCCCGTTGAACCGGTTGTCGACGTTGTTGAGCGTGA